CTTACTTGATTTGTTGCACATTACGGTGTTCTAATTCCGAAACCCACCAGTAATTAGTCCAATTTTGATTTTGAATCTCCAGGATTATCGTTATTCATATTAAAATTGGTCGGACTATATATTTAGATATCATTGTTAAGACTTTAAACAAGAAAGCATAATCAAGAATGATCGAATTCTACGATTCTATAGACTGATATTTTATTATTTGTTACTCTAGTTGTCATGAAATGTTTTTTGCAGCTCGTGCAACATTGTTCCAACTTTCACTAATCAAAAAAAAATTACTGTACTGTATATTTTCGCTACCAAATTGGATTTATTCTTCTTGCTTGTTCCATAATATATACACCCGCAATTAAGATCAGTAATGCTTAAATGACCGTCCAAGTTCTGTAAAATATCATTTATTCCTCTTGGTTTTTCAGTTGGATTTTGATTGACTAATGGTCTTTTTAATTTTTTATTTACAAAAATATAAATTTTAAAAAATAATCCCGCATTATAATAAAATTGGCCCAGGAACAATTTTCATTTAATAAGCGTCCGAATAATTCCAGTCTAATTTTTTGATAGTCGCTCTTAGCCAATCAAAATCGAGAATCGACCGTGGCTGCTATGGTTAATCACGTGAAATCAGCTGCGCCCGAGTTACAAAATATTTTTAAGCAATTGATATTTGCATATACAGTAGCCTAAGATATATTTTAACGTAACTAAGTTACATGCTATTTATGCTATTCAGACAAACTATTTCTTTGAACCCCAATTTTCTTGATATATTAATGCTTCAACAATATCTGTATCTAAATTACAGCCATTTAAAAAATGTGTGAACAGCGATTTCCACATACCTGTGTGGGAAATCGAAAATTTAGATTAGTAAAAATTAAACTTCCGATTGGGATGGGTCTTAAAAACTTTGGAAATTTATGACATGAGAAATCTTATAACATTAAGATTCGCGACCGTTTACACCTTTTTTTAAAAAAAGGTGCAAGTTCTTGTTAATAGTATTTACTGCTGTATGTTTTAATTTTTTTAAAAAAAAACCTATTTTTTATAAGTCAAAATTATATATTTTTTATTATGTTAACTAAACCCCTCAAATAACAATATGAAATGCTAATAATCTTTATGGAAGTTCATCAATATTTGTATGAACCGACAACTTCAAAAAATGTAAAGCCACTTTATTTATGAAACCCAAATTATTATTGATTTCCAAACTTATTAAGTTGACTACGGATTTTGTAACAAATGTGCAATTATTAGTTTAGCTGGTATTACAGCTGCTTTCGACATAATTAATAATTCCATCTAAAAAGAAGATTCGAAAATAGTTTAAATGCCTTATTTATTCACAATTTTGACATAATTAGCATTTGGTACATATGAATTATTCATTGGTTTTTGAAATTGGATCCGAATATAGCAAATTTTATAAAACACACCACTGAATCGGAATTAGAACATCGTAATGTACAACAAATAAGGCAGGTACATACAGTAACACATTTAACACAAATATAAAGCTCATCAAATTATTGATTTGCTAAACAATGTTAACAACTCCGAAGTTTATACATAAAAATTTTCCTATTGTTTACTAAAGTAATAATATTTCATAATTTGAAAATGGAACATGTGCGTAGCCTTTTAGAAAAAAGGACCAAAAAATGTTCACTTCTATGTGATGAAGAAGCTCCGCTAATATGTAATAATTGTCTTCACGAAATATTGGAAAGAGAGTCTTCTAACTGGTCGAGTGGGAATTTACTAATTGATGAATTTATACTAAGAGCACAACAGTCATTGTTATATATTCGATATTAATAGAGGTGCAGTAATTTCTGCAAAATTGAGCCAAGGTGTCAAAAGAATATAAAAGTCTTATATTAAATGTTATTATTTTCGACCAGATCCCTGTGCAGTTGTTTTAAAAAAATTAAAAGATATGAATCAGCTTTCACATATAGAAATACTGCCACATAATTGTTGTAATTTATATGGAATTACTCAAGATCCTTCAACATTAGAATATATGCTTGTAGAACCCATGTCTTTATGTGACAGATGTCTCTCTAAATTATTAGAAAGTGAGTTTTCCAACTGGACTAGCGGAAACTTACAAATTGACAAATTCATTCAAGATACACAACGTTCATCGACCTATATTGAATATCCTGAATGGATTCCTTATAACTCTTTAATGAAATAGAATTTATTAGCAAAGGCGGGTTTGGTGCTGTATATTCTGCAAAGTGGGATAAAGGTGTAAAATGTTTTTCCGCGATAGATGGAGTCAAATATTATACTCGATCTGAGCCTTGTGCTGTTGCTCTAAAGCAATTAAAAGGCGAAAAAGACTCAGTTCATCTTTTTCTTAAAGAGGTATGGTCCGGTGCAAAAAGATTTGCACACCAAATTTAAACCAATTTTTTACTATAATTAAAAATCAATAAATTATTAATAGTATATATGTAAATTTTTTTATATTTATTAGAATAT